TTGTGTAAAATTTTCTAGATGACCTCATGGTTAAACAACTGTCTTGGGTGATTCTAATGCAGTTGGTACCCTATATGTGTCTGTGACTGGGCTATTTGGGGCCACTGACACTGTTCCCCACCCCCAAACTGATAAGAAAAATCTAAGGTTTTACTTCAAGAACAACAACTAAACTAATATGTATATATAACCTCTATAGAGCTGTGATGCTGTGGCTGGTTCCTGTACACTAAATATATTTATGTTTTTCAAATATATCAAGCCTTCTAAACTACAAAATTTAGATAAACACAGTAACAAAAAATTAATGGTACTGATATACTGTTCTGTTAGTTGCTAAATGTCCATCCAAATTTTAACCATGGCTCTTTTAAGTTTTTGTCATTACACTTCTGATCTTTCTGGGGCATTTGATCAAGTCCATAAAAAAATGGCTCTAATGAGTGCTTATGTGTCACCCAGGTTAGCTTTTTAGACATCTGCTTTTGTTAGATTTTGTTTTGTATTGTCCTTTTCTAGAAGCCCACTGCCTAAGAGCCACTCCTTCTAAGCCTTTTTGTTGCTTAAACTTGGCCAAAAGGGTCTAGTTGGCACTGACTCCCACCTGATCTGCTTGTTACTTCCCCCTGCCCCACGTGGGACCAAAACCAACCAAACAAAAATCCAGGAAAATACAAATCCTCACGATGAGGAAAGGAAATGACCAATCAAGAAAGATCTTCACTCTGTGGCCATAGCACCCTAAATGTACCCAATTTTGTCTGATCTCAGAAGCTAAGCAGGGTTGGGCCTGGTTAGTACTTGGATAGGAGGAAGATCTTCAGAGGAGACTGCTCAGAGACAAACAGTTTGAAGACAAGGGGGGAATGCCATCAAAGTTCAAATGGAGTCACTCCTGTCTAATCTCTCAAAAATAACCAAGGCTGAGAGGATTAAGGAAATGGTTCTTATACATGTGTGGCTATCTGCAATTAAAGCCCTTCCAGACACAAACTGATATTTTTAGACAGGATCTTCTACTTAAACAAAGACAAAATGACTATTTTTACTGGCTCTAAACATGTCTTTTGATACTTAAAGATGGTGGTTTTAACTTTTTTAAACAACGTGTTTTCTTTGACATATATATTGTTGCCATGGTAATTCTACTCAGTAAATAAAAAGAAAACCAAAACCAAAAGACTGGGTAAAAGAATGAAATGTCCAACCATTAAAACCCCATTGAGGGGGAGAAATGACCCAAACATTGTATGCACATATGAATAAAAGAAAAAAAAAAACCCATTGGAAGGGCCCTTTTTTGTTATCTTGTCTATCCCCACTGCAGTTACAGTAGCAGAAACTGCTCCCTGATCTACCAGAGCCGAGTAAAGCCAGCCTCTCCAGAGTGGGAGTGTGTCCCTGACCCAGCCTCACCCTGCAAGATCACCCTCCGGCGCCTGCACCCTCCTCGGTAGTACCCTGCTTCCAGGAAAACAACAGGGGACCATGAACAACGGGACTACAGCCCTGCTCTAGTCACTCCTGAAGCTGACTAGTCTACACAGGGCGGAAGTTCAAACATAGACGCACCCCTGCTCTCCTCTAGACATTTGGAGTGGGTTGGCCCTTGCAAGGTTTCCCCCATGTACTGAATGTTATAAGAGAGTCATTGTTGGGACCTCTGCACAGCCATATTTGTATCATACACCCACCAATAGGTCAGGTGTTACATCGGGCTCATATACTCCCCAGGTTTGCGGGGTTGCCAGTAAGCCATACTAAAAGTCCCAGAGTAAAGAAAACAATGCAGGCTACATTTGTCATGGAAAGCAGGGCGATGAGTCGTCTTGGAGCATGTTTGATGTTACCCCTGCCTTGGTATTGTAGTCCATCAGGACCATGATAGAGGGCACTATGGAGAAAAACAGCCACCTGTGTAATGATGCTATGAAAATACAAACCCCTGAATCAAGATGACCCTAAGTAGGTCTGAGCATCCAAGAGGGGATAATGTAGCAAGTCTGTGTTCTGATAATGTAGCAGGGGGGAGGGGATGGCATAGCAGAGAGATAAAACCTAAAGAATCCAAATGTGAAGAAGGTCTTCACATAGCCCTAGAGGTTAGAAGGGCACTAAGCACTAGGGTGAAGTAGTCTATAGAACTGCATGTAAATATATATGGATTAAACCTTGTTTTTTTTAATTTTATTGCCTCTGTAACCTGCTTGCAAGGGTACATTAGGTGAGACACCTTTGTTCTCGGGGCTCAGCCTTTGGACCCGAGTCTGCTGAGTCTGTGCTGGAACAATAAAGTGTTGATTCCTTGCCTAAGAGTCCCTGTCTCTGTTCAAGTTTCCCAAAACAATAGGATCACTTTGTCCTTAGAGACATTGCAGCTCCACTCTGGACCCTGTAGCCTGGTTCTTGTATAAGATGCTGGAAGAAGGGCAGTGAAAGGCTTATGCCACACATTGCTGAAAGAATAGAAGGGAAGAGGACACATAACACACTTTCTTTTTTTTTTTTTTAACTTTTTTTTTTTTCATTTTTCTTTTATTATTCATATGTGCATACAAGGATTGGTTCATTTCTCCCCCCTGCCCCCACCCCCTCCCTTACCACCCACTCCACCCCTCCCTTTCCCCCCCACCCCCTCAATACCCAGCAGAAACTATTTTGCCCTAATCTCTAATTTTGTTCAAGAGAGAGTATAAGCAATAATAGGAAGGAACAAGGGGTTTTGCTGGTTGAGATAAGGATAGCTATACAGGGCATTGACTCACATTGATTTCCTGTGCGTGGGTGTTACCTTCTAGGTTAATTCTTTTTGATCTAACCTTTTCTCTAGTACCTGTTCCCCTTTCCTATTGGCCTCAGTTGCTTTAAGGTATCTGCTTTAGTTTCTCTGCGTTAAGGGCAACAAATGCTAGCTAGTTTTTTAGGTGTCTTACCTATCCTCACCCTCCCTTGTGTGCTCTCGCTTTTATCATGTGCTCATAGTCCAATCCCCTTGTTGTGTTTGCCCTTGATCTAATGTCCACATATGAGGGAGAACATACGATTTTTGGTTTTTTGGCCAGGCTAACCTCACTCAGAATGATGTTCTCCAATTCCATCCATTTACCAGCGAATGATAACATTTCGTTCTTCTTCATGGCTGCATAAAATTCCATTGTGTATAGATACCACATTTTCTTAATCCATTCGTCAGTGCTGGGGCATCTTGGCTGTTTCCATAACTTGGCTATTGTGAATAGTGCCGCAATAAACATGGATGTGCAGGTGCCTCTGGAGTAACAGTCTTTTGGGTATATCCCCAAGAGTGGTATTGCTGGATCAAATGGTAGATCGATGTCCAGCTTTTTAAGTAGCCTCCAAATTTTTTCCAGAGTGGTTGTACTAGTCTACATTCCCACCAACAGTGTAAGAGGGTTCCTTTTTCCCCCGCATCCTCGCCAACACCTGTTGGTGGTGGTGTTGCTGATGATGGCTATTCTAACAGGGGTGAGGTGGAATCTTAGCGTGGTTTTAATTTGCATTTCCTTTATTGTTAGAGATGGTGAGCATTTTTTCATGTGTTTTCTGGCCATTTGAATTTCTTCTTTTGAGAAAGTTCTCTTTAGTTCACATGCCCATTTCTTTATTGGTTCATTAGTTTTGGGAGAATTTAATTTTTTAAGTTCCCTGTATATTCTGGTTATCAGTCCTTTGTCTGATGTGTGGCTGGCAAATATTTTCTCCCACTCTGTGGGTGTTCTCTTCAGTTTAGAGACCATTTCTTTTGATGAACAGAAGCTTTTTAGTTTTATGAGGTCCCATTTATCTATGCTATCTCTTAGTTGCTGTGCTGCTGGGGTTTCATTGAGAAAGTTCTTACCTATACCTACTAACTCCAGAGTATTTCCTACTCTTTCTTGTATCAACTTAAGAGTTTGGGGTCTGATATTAAGATCCTTGATCCATTTTGAGTTAATCTTGGTATAGGGTGATATACATGGATCTAGTTTCAGTTTTTTGCAGACTGCTAACTAGTTTTCCCAGCAGTTTTTGTTGAAGAGGCTGCTATTACACACTTTCAATGGTAGCGTGTTTAAGGGTTATCTGCCCTTTGCCTTTTTTTTTTTTTTTTCTTTTGGTACTAGGGCTTGAACTCAGGACCTACACCTTAAGTCACTCCACCAGCCCTATTTTGGGTAAAGGTTTTTTGAGATAGAGGCTCCTGAACTATTTGCCAGGGCTGGCTTCGAACCGCGATCCTCCTGATCTCTGCCTCCCGAGCAGCTGGGATTACAGCAGTGAGCCACCGGCGCCCGGCTTTGCCTTTTGCCCCTTGGTGGTCCCTGTCTTCCTTCCTGAAGGAAACAGGGGTTCATAAAGATAAATAAAAATACAAGCACCTACGTCGGTTTACTGTGGCTGAAGTGATCAGACGCGACGTGAGTGGTCTCTGAGGGGCGCAAAGCGTAGGAAAGGGGACCAAGAGGGCCGCTGCGACGGAGAGGACCGAGCGAAAGACCAACCACGGGTAACAAGCTGGGAAAAACTCCGCCTCCACTTTTCAAATAAACCGCAGCAGGGCGCGCAGGTCTCGGGGGGCGCATGCGCAATGTCATTTGCCATAGAGACGTAGAGCTAGACAGTCCACGTCCATGGAGGCCAACATTTTGGATCCTGGCAGAAAAGTTGAAAACGGCTGACACCACTACTAAGCCAGGTTCTACTGCTCAAGAGAGTGGGATATACTCTTCTGGGAGCGACCAAAGGAAGCGGACAAACAAATCCTTGGTGCGTCTGTCGGAAGAGCAGGACCCTAAGGCGTCGCCCACATTTCCGCCCTCATCTAAGATGGCGTCGGCGCGGGCGCTCTAGCCGCCGCTCCTCGGACTCCCGGAGGGGGCGCGGCCTGGTGTCGGGCTCTTAGGTGGCTGCGACGCGGGTGGCGGAGCGTGAGGCTCCGCGGGAGCGCTCCGGAACGCGAGGGGCGTGGATCTTGCGCCCCTTTCCTCCTCTGAGGGTTCCTCAGCGCCTCCCCAACGTAGTCCGACTCGCGGCCGCCTCGGTCGGAACCGCGTCCGGATCCAGCCCCGCGCGGGCGGCCGTCACCGCGCCTCGGGCCGGACGATGCCCAAGAAGCTGCTGCTGTTGCCCCCGCTGTCCGCGTGCTCGGCCTTCCGCGCCCCGCGAGCCCGCCCCGCCGTCCCGCCAGCCATGAACGCCGCCCGCACTGGCTACCGAGTCTTCTCGGCCAACTCCACGGCCGCCTGCACGGAGCTGGCCAAGCGCATCACCGAGTAAGCGGGGCGTGGGCTGGGGCGCCCCCGTCAGCCCAGGGTCACCTCCGTGGTCGTCCTGGCCGCTCTCCCCGCCACCCCCGGACCCGGGCTGAGCAGGGTCGCAGAATCGGGGCGGTCCGGAGCTGGACAGACCCTCGGGGGAGCTGTGGCTGGAAAGCTAGCCCCCCATCCTCGCCCTTTCGTCTCCCCATCTCCACCCCAGTGCGGAGGAGCATTCGGAGCCCCCCCCAACCCCGAGTGCGCGCCTTGTAGAGAGGGGCCCAGGCCTCCTTTCCCGCGGTTGGAGTGGACCTTGCTCTTGGCCATCGTCATTCCCAGGTCTCCCCAATGGGGACGCGGTGGGTCCAGCTTGGACCTAAGGTGTGCCAAGGGCAGGGAGGAGAAGCAGCTCCTGGAAGCGTAGGGGTTGCCTCGCCTGTGTTGTAATCAGCTTTAGGTCGAGCTGGCCTGCCCCGTGGCCTTTGGGACTCAGGTCCCTTCGCATACTTGCCACTTAGCAGCTCTGTGACACTGGGCACAGAGACGTGATTTTCCTGAACTTCATTTGCACAATGGGCTGGTTCTGTCTGTTGGGCAGGCCGAGATGCTGTGAGCATGGCCGAGATAAGGGGCGTGAAGAATTTAGCAGAGCTGGGGCTCATAGTGGCCCTCTGGTAATACCTGTTTGCTAAATGGCTTCTTTTAGAGTTCGAATATAAAAGAACACCGTGATAGGGCCTTTGTCAAATAAAATTTTTATAAATAAAAAACATAAAATGAATGGCTTGTCACCGAGCACTGGTGGTGCATGTCTGTAATCCTAGCTAGTTGGGAGGCTGAGGCCTGGAGGATCATGGTTGGAGGCCAGTCCATGCAAATAGTTTCCTAAATTCCATCTCCAAAATAAGCAGAGCAACATGGACTGGAGGTGTGGCTCAAATGGTAGAGCACTTGCCTTGCTAATGCAAAGCCATGAGTTCAAACACCAGTTCCAGAAAAAAATAAAAAGAATAGTTTGTCTTTTTCCTCAGTGAATTTTCTGGGTTCATAAATAATTGCATGAATATTTAAAAATTCTAGATGGAAATGGAGAAGACGGAAAACTCCCATTTTTTCAGCTCTGCCTGTTTTCGATTAGAGTTTGAAGTGGGATTGGAACAGTGTAAAAAAAAAAAAAGTCTTTTTGCAATCTACTACTTAGTTTCTGTTTCTAACCTCTGATTATTTGTCTTTCTTAGCAAGGCCAACCAAAATATTGACTTTAAATACAGCCCGTGTGTGTGTGTGTGTGTGGTGTGTGTGTGTGTGTGTGTGTGTGTGTGTGTGTTTATATTGGGTCACAATCGCCCCACGTGTGTGTGTGTGTGTGTGTGTGTGTGTGTTTATATTGGGTCACAATCGCCCCACGTGACCTTGCCTAGAAAAACCTGAAGGGAGGAGGTGCATTTAAGAAGTCAGTATTTTTTGCCTTTTTTGTTTTTATGTTAGATTCTCCCTCTCTGCCATGTTCCAACAAATATTTATAAATACTTCCCTTACCTCTTTCGTATATTGGGTTTCAAATATTTTTTGTGGTGCTGCAGACTGAACACGTGACCTCACATGGGTACGCTTGTTCCGCCAGCCCTCGGTAACATTTTATTTGAAAAAGTGTTTTACCACTAAACAAAGTTTTCAAGCTCCCTAGAGTGAAAGACCCTGGAGGTTATATTTTAATCAGAACTAGGTGCATGGCATCCCAGGATTTGTAGGGGTTACCTGTGCGCTGTATCTACCCCACGTCCTTCACTCAGCTTCCACACTGAGCAGCATTTCACTCATCTGTTCCACCTATCTCGCTCTTTTTGTGGGGTACAGTATTTTTTTAAATTTTGGTAAAATATAGCCAGGCATGGTGGGTCACACCTGTTAATCTAGTTACTTGGGAAGTGGAGATTAGTTAGCGAGACCCCCATTTCAACCCATGAAAAGCTGGGAGTAGTGGTGTACACCTGTCATCCCAGCTATGAGGATCTCAGTCCAGGCCCACCTATGCATAAACTTGAGACCCTATTTGAAAAATAACTAAAGTGAAAAGGGCTTGAAGTGGGGGCGGTCTTGGCTCAAGTGGTAGGCTTGCCAAGCCTAAGGCTCTTGAGTTAAACCCCAGTAAGCTCCCCCAAAAAGGTAAAACTATTCATAATGTAAAATTTACCATTTTAACAGTTTTGGGTTTTTTTTGCTGTGATATGGACTTTGAACTCAGGGCCTACACGTGTAATTGAGCCACTCCACCAACCGTTTTTGTGAAGTTTTTTTTCAAGATAGGGTCTCACAAACTATTTGCCCAGGCTGGTTTTGAACCTTGTTCCTCCTGATTTCTACCTCCTCAGTAGCTGGGATTACAGTATATTATTATATTTTGTTTTGGCAGTACTGGGGTTTGAATTCAGGGCCTTAGGCTTGCTAGGCAGGAGCTCTAGCACTTGAGCCACGCCACCAGCCCTTTAACAGTTTTTAAGTGTACAATTTAGTAAATTTGGGAATGCTGTTCCAAGACAATTATTTTTCAAAAAGCAGTGAACTAGGGATGGGTTTGTGGCTCGTTGGTGGAGTGTTTGCCCTAGCATGTGTAAGACCCTGGGTTCTACCCTAACACCATCAAAAACAAACAAAAAGAAACATTAAATTCAGGTCATGGGCTCTTTCAAGTAAAACTATGTTATAAAATGGTGAGCTGCTTATGAAGTGATAGTGGAATTTTAGTTTTTAATAAATTAGACTTTCTAAACTGTTTTGGAAAGAGTGGCAGTATAGTTATTGGAGTCTTTCTGTTAAAGCATATGAACTGAAATTTTCTTAAAAAGGAATTCTTAATTGCCTTTTGTTTGTTTGGTCTACAGGCGCCTTGGTGCTGAATTGGGGAAGTCTGTTGTCTACCAAGAGACCAATGGAGGTAAATTAAAGTTGTTTCTTACATCCTTTCTGTACTTTCCACTAGCTATGACCCCTTTCATCTCCTTAGTGTGTTCCCGCCACCCCACCCCTTTAATGCAAATATCCTATTGTTTTAGAATGAATAGAGGTTGTAGAATGTTTTGCTTCTACATTAGGCTATATTTAAGATACTTTTTTGGATGGTTAGTACTGGAGTTTTGAACTCAGGGCCTTGAGTTTCTAGGCAAGTATTCTGTCTCTTGAGCCACTCTAGTGACAAATACTTCTTAAATTTACCTGTCTCACTTGGCCATCAAATGACATCACGAGCAATCTGGTACTAGGAATAGCAACTTAATAAAAAGTCCTCTTTTAACTCTTGCTTTGGCAGCACACATACTGAAATTAGAACAGCACAGAGAAGATAAGCACAGTCCCTATGCAAGGATGACACAAAAATTCATATTTTTGAGAGCATAAATACTGTTTGGAAAAGGTGGGGAGGAGGGAGCGGGGCTCAGGGAGCGTAGAAGAGGGGGTGAGGCTCATCAAGGGACATTGCACGCATTTATGGAAATAGCACAATGAAAACCCCTTTGTACAATTAGTGTGCAATAGAGAAAGAAAGGAAGAAAGACCTCTTTAAATTCTCTTCCCCTTTAACTTTTTATTCAAGTATCTAACATACTCACAGTGGGTTGGTAGTCCATTCATGCTTCCTTCAGTTGTGTGGTGAATTTCACTGTGACATTGACTGATAATGCTTGAAGTACTTTGCTGAGGGTCAGTGTCCTACAAATGCTGTACCGTAATCCTCCTCGTGGGGTCACTTACTTCAGATTGCCTTCCTTCTGTCATTCAAAGGCAAATTAGAACAGAATAATCTGGAGTTACTTTAGCAAAATTCTGTGTTTCCCTTTCTTTTTTTAAGTTGTAACTAGTGTAAGCTGCTTGGAGAGATGAATTACTAAGATGCTGTGACGTGTGCGGGCACACTTGGCCCCCATATCTTCTCATGTCATCGTGCTGAGTGGACTGTACACATTTGCAGGATGTGTGCAAGTCATGTGTGCTTTAATCACCCACCAAGTGTCCTCACCCCGCTTCCACGCTTAGCACTGGACAACTTTATCTACTGCAGGGGATTCAGGGGATGCTAGTGTTTAACTTTGAAGCCGAATGTGGAGCGTAAGGTGCCCTGTTCATCGGTCACCAGTTGATTTCATAGTGCTGCCTTTGGAGGTCTTATGAGCTCAAGTACTTGAGGAGGTGGACGTGAGCGATGCAGATCCTTCCCGACCCTTCCATTACTGCTCCAGGCCTCATTGCCCATCTGACAAAGCCAAAAGTGTAAATATTTTGCTTAGGGTCAGAAGTGTTCCAGATTTCAGACTTTTTCAGATTTTGGAATGTGTACATAGTGTCTGCTGGTAGAAGCATTCCTTACTTGAAAGTCCAAAATCCGAAATGCTTCTAAATCTAAAACTTTCACATATCATCAGCACTCAGAATGTTTTAGGGTTTGGAGCATTTTTGATTTGGAATTTCTGGATTCAGGACCTGTATTAGCTCATAGGCTGGATTTTAAAACAAGTCAGTGGAACGCTTCTCAACCTCAGGTCTTCCAGTGGCTTTGCTTTCCTATCACTCTTAGAAGAAAGTCCAGAGTCCTTTGTGGTCCAACCTCTGCTGGCTTCCTGATCTCTTGTACACCTTCTTCCTCTCAGTCACTTTGCTTCCCAAGTAGTCTGCGTGACTATAGGTGTGCATGGTGCACTCGTCCCCATGTCTTCCCATGCTTCCCTCCCACTCTGCTGCACACTCCAGCTTGCCATGAAGCTTCTGTTCTCCTTTATCATGGCTGCTGTGTCCCTGGCACCTTGGGCCTGGAGGGTTTGTTGGCCTTTTGTGTTGTGCCATCTCTCCAGGGTCAGTCTTAGTCCAGGTCCTCTCCTTTGGGGCCCAGCACAGGGCCTGGCACAGAGGAGGCCCTAGCATCTGTTGGAAGGATAATAAAGATGTCAACCTTTGGCTTCTGTATTTGCTGTAGACTCTTGCTTTTATCTTTATTTTGGTGATGGAGTTTGGGAGTTTTTTGGATCCTGTGACTTTTGTGGGCACATTAGTTTTGTCTTTTATTTTTAGCTTATTTTCCCCCTAGCTTGACTACTTTCTGTATATGTACTTGTCATTCTGAAATCTAATAAGAATTTATTTTGAGATAGGCATGGTGGTACACACCTGTATCCCAGCTACTAGGGAAACAGATAGCAGGTTCCAGGTCCAAGGCCAGCCCAGGAGAAGCCAGAGACCCTATCTGAAAACAAATAAAAGCAAAAAAACTGGGATCATGGCTCAAGTGGAAAGACGACTCACAAGCTCCAGGCTCTGAGTTCAGTCCCCAGTACCATTAACTAAGTAAATAAATAAATAAAAATAACGTACTCACGTGCAGCAAGGGAAATGTTGGTATATGTCATCTTTATCAAACCCTGTCTTCTTACTACATTGTGGGGTACTTTTCTTAAAACCTCAGAGCGTGTTTGTTTTTCAGAAACAAGAGTTGAAATCAAAGAATCTGTTCGTGGCCAAGATATTTTCATTATACAGACAATACCCAGGTAAGAGTTAGAACCATTTTATATATCCCTTACTCTAAAACCTTAATAATATGATCCTCTATCTTTTTCTACGAACAGCAATTCAGGGTTTTTAGTTATGAATTTGTACGCTTCCCAGCATATAGTTTTAGTCTCTGAGGCTCCTGTCCTATTTGTCATACTGTAGTGTCATCAGTTAGATGACCATCTTCCAAAGCTTTGAAGTCTGCAGGGTAAAATATCTTCCTCCATGTGCACTCAGCCTAGGCTGGTATCTGCCAACTCAGCTCTGCTGAAAAGCTGCACTGTGCCACTGGCTCACACCTGTCGGTTTGCACAGCCCTTCTTATTCACTTGTCTCTTGCCAAAGGGCAGGAGGCTGACCCTTCAGGACCCGGTCTCTTTGAGAGTAAGCCCCCTGTGGGGTTATCTCCCTTCTCATCAGAACACAAGGAGTAGGGTGGCTGTGTTATCAGGTTCTGAAAAATCCAGACCTTCCTGTCCTGACCAGCTTGGATTGCTGAAGCTGTGTTAGTAATAGAAACAGCAGCAGTGTACCAGGTACTTTGTGTGTACCTCCAGGGCAGCCGTTCTTGCCCCTGTTGAGGGGTTGAGAAGGCTGGGGTCTACTCATCACTCACAGTACAGGCATGGCAGCGTATAAAGACAGAGCTCCCTCATCATTTAAAACTGTTGGAGGAAACTTGTGTGTGTGCTGCAACCATTTCAGAGTAAGTTGTTACACTGTCACCCCGAGTTCCTACAAAGACAGCCTCTTTCCATGTCCACGGTCCACCGTCAGAACCAGGATATGATCCTCAGACCCGTTCAAGTTCTGCCTGTTGTTGCAGTGACTTTTGGAGCAGAAGGGGTTAGTTCAGAACCCCAGCCATCATTTAGTTGGGAGATCTGCACAGTCTTCAGTTTGCAATAGCTCTTCCCTTGACTGTTGAGCTTAGCTTTTTTTTTATTTTAATTTGCTGGAACTGGGGTTTGAACTGTGGACCTTAAGGTTGCTAGGCAGGCACTCTACTATTTGAACCACTCCCCCAGCCTTTTTGCTTTAGTTATTTTCCGAACAGGGTCTTTTATGCTCTGGACAGCCCAAACTGCAGTCCTTCTGTTTATGCTTCCCGCATAGCTGGGGTGGCTGGATTGTGCCACCAGGCCCAGCTTAGGTGGGGTCTAGCAAACTTTTTGCCTAGACTGGCCACTAACTGTGATCCCCCAATCTCCACCTTCTGAGTAGCTGAGCCTAGGCTCTTGTCTCAGCCACCTTAGATTACTAGAGCCCTTCGTTTAGGGTGGAGGAGAAGAGAACTGCAGTGTTTTCCCAGGTGGGCCAGCTTTGTCAGTGACCCTCCAGGAAATATGGAGGTCTAAGTCCAAAGGAAGGCTCAGGTGGCAAAGTCTCTTTAATGCCCGAGCAGGCTTTCTGATAACAAAAGGAAGTACTGTTGGGGAAATCGCATTAGCACTGAACTGTGTCTTGTCACTTGGAATTTGAGCCTTTGAGTTCTGGGGTGCTCCTTGTACTGGCACACAGCTGTGCTCTGGATGTCATAGTTCTGTTGCTGGTATTTGGGAGTCATTCCTGAGGAAGGGGAGGAGCTAAGGGAGTGATCTCCTCACAGCAGAGATCCCATCTGTTAGATACTGTACACAGCGTAGACATTGGTGATTGAGGAGGTTTGAACTGACTTATGATTGTGGGCCACTCATGTGTGGCCAGTGGAGATCCAGAAGGGTGGCCAGCCTTTCATTACCATGATGAGTTGGGAGGTTGAGGCTTTGATGCCTGTGAAAGGCATCTTTTGTGCTTTTCTTTCTTTCTTTTTTTTTTTCAGTACTGGGGCTTGAACCTCAGGACCTACACCTTGAGCCACCCCACCAGCCCTTTTTGTGATGGGTTTTTTTTTCAAGATAAGGTCTTGGGAACTGTTTTGCCCAGGCTGACTTCAAACCATGATCCTCCTGATCTCTGCCTCCTGAGCAGCTAGGATTACAGGTGTGAAGACCTCTTTTGATACTTTTTTTTCTTTTTTGTGGTACTGGGGATAGAATTCAGAGCCTTGACCTTACTAGGCAAGCACTCTGCCAGTGAGCTAGTCCAGTGCATTTTTTGTTGTTACTTTGTTTTTTTAGATAGAGTCCCACACTTTTGCCTTAGCTAGTCTTAGACTTCAGTCCTCCAACTTCTGCCTTTGTAGTAGCTGGAGTTACAGGCATGCACCACCATGCCCAGCTTGTTCTGTTGAGCTGGGCATCTCACATAACTCTTTGCTCATGCTGGCCTCAACCCTCTGTTCTCCTATCTCTTGTCTCCTGAGAAGCTGAGATTACAGATGTGCATGCCATCACACCTGACACCTGACGTGATGCTTTTTTTTTTAATTTTTTTTGGTGGTACCGGGGTTTGAACTCAGGTCCTCACGCTTGCTAGGGGCAGGGGCTCTACTTCTAGAGTCTCATCCCAGCCCTTTTGCTTTCATTTTTTTTTAATTTAATTTAATTTTTTAATGGAACTAGAATTTGAGCTCAGGGTTTGCATGTGGCAAGCTCTCTGTCACTTGAGCCACACCTCTGGTCCATTTTGCTCTGGTTGCTTTTGGAGATGGGTCTCATGAATTTTTTCCCTGGCTGGCCTCAGTCCAAAACTGCTGATCTTAGCCTCCCAAGTAGCTAGGGTTACAGGCATGAGCCATAGTGCCCAACTGCTTTAACTTTTGAATAGGACTCACATTTATTTATATGCTAGGCCGGCCTATATATGCTTTCTGTACAGCAGAGCTGATAGGTGCATGCCACCACTCCCAGTTCTTTATTGTTGAGATGAGGCCTCGCTAATTTTTTGCTCAAGCTTCCCTTGAACCACAGTCCTTGCCATCTCCATCTCCCAAGTAGCTAGGATTATAGGCATGAGCCACCTTGTCCAGTCTAACTTCTTTTTTTGGTGGGGGGGGTCTTTTACTTTTTCTTAGGCCACCCCATTGGTAGGCATCTAACCTTAGAGTCCGTGACTTCATTTTGGGTTTGCATTTGTACGTGTGGATTTGTGTAGGACAACTATGACTGCTTTGTATGATGACATGTCTTCTTCCATATCCCTGTTAGGACATGAGCTCTGTGGGTAGAGATTTTGCCTTGCTATCTCTAGCACCCAAGTCAGTGCCTAGCCTGTTACAGGCCCCCACTGAATTTCTGTTTGGTGAATAAAAGGACTTTTTTCCAGTGCTGGTGTTTGAGCCCACTAGGGGGGTGCTCTACCACCAAGCCACACTCCCAGCCCTCAATGAATGGACTTCAACCCTCTATGTCCCCAGCATATGTAGTCTCAAATGTTTTTGGAGAGAATGAATACTAAAAACACGGTTTTATGTATTTCTGCCTTTTCTGCAGCTTCACAAAATAACTGTTCTTTTACTGCTCTTAGATCTCAGAGTCCTTCTTTGATGTTGTTTTCTTCCTCACTGGCTCTTGGCTGAAATTAAAAAGCCTTTTGGATTTTTGTTTGTACTTGGAAATTCTTGGTTGTAGCTCAAATTGCCCTTACCATGTTCTTGTCAGTGTGAAGTCAGTCCTGTCATGACAAAAAATGTTCACCATTTTTTTAAAACTTTTTTTTTTTCTTTGTGCTGCCTGGGGATCACACATGCTAGGCAAAGTGCTTGACCACTGAGCTTCCCCCACCACCCCCAGCCCAAACTTGCATCACTAATAGCACCGTCCTTTTGTGATCCATCCTTCCTGGTGTTCATGATAGTCTCGAGCTAGTCAGCCAAGATGCTATTCTTAGCATAGGAGCAGCCTGGTGTTGATGTCCTTCAGAGTTGCATTTTATATAATTCTTGGTCTCTATGTCTCATGGTAGCCTAGAGTGCTCAGTATAAATATTTAATAGTGGCAGTCTAGAGTGACCCTGGGGCTGTTACAGGTTGTACTTTATAAATAAAGGATCATTGCTGTGCAAGTGTTGTGAAGGGAGGGGGCAAAGAAGCAGAAAAGCAAGTTGCTGATGGCTAATTGGGAGCATTTGCAGGTTTTTCCACTTGCACTTAGATTATTAGAACCTAAGTACATGATGGGGAATGTGGTGGCTTGCATTGTCATACTACTTGGGAGGCAGAGATCAGGAGTGCAGTTCCAGCCTAGATGAAAAGTTCATAAGACCCCATCTCAACTGATAAGCTGGGTGTGGTGAGGTGCATCTGTCATCTCAGCTACACAACAGATATGAATTGGAAGATCATGGTCCAGGCTACTTGGGGCAAAAATGTGATACTGTATTTGAAAAAGAACTAAACCATAAAAGGACTGGGGAGTCCTTTTATGGGGGAGTGACTGAAGTGGTCGAGTACCTGCCTAGCAAGTGTCAGGCCCTGAGTTTAGACCCCAGCACCACTAAAAAGAAGACTTGACAGAAGGAAGCAGTTAGGGGCAGTTCACAGGTTGCAGGGGGTGGTGGCAGGGGAGGAGGGTGATGTGAGGCCTGTGAAGCAGCCATGAGGACTTATACACCTATCTAACCATGGAAGAATCTTTGCCCTTAAGAAGGAGCTGGGTGTGCATGTGCTATGCTGAGGATGTGGTGCTCCCATCGGTGTGCTTCATGGTGGTTCAGTTTGGCAGTGCCAAAGCAAAATCCACCTTGCCTGGCAGTTCCCATGTCCCTTAGGGCAATGGGACAGAAGAGAAAGGTGGAGGGAGGGGGACATTGGCATAGGTATGCCATCTGGGTGCCATAAAGAAAGTTGTTGGTCTGGGTGTGGTGTGACGTGCCTGTAATCCCAGCACTCAGGAGTTGGAGGCAGGAACATTGCAAGTAGAGGCGGCCTGGTCTACGTAGTGAGACCCTGTGCTGAAAGGAAGAACAAAAAGGTTTGACTTGAGTACTGAATACTTTTCATTCTAACTAAAGAGCACAGAGAATTTAGTTTTTTCCTTTTTTTTTGTTATTTTTGGTAATACTGGAGTTTGAACTCAGGTGCTTTACCACTTGAGCCACACCCCATCCCATAGTTTTGTACTATGATCAGCTAGTTAAAGATGAAAGAACACATCTTAGAGATTTTTCTTTTATTACCTAAAGTAATAAAGCTGATTTTAGACAAACAGACCAAAGCTTAGGCATTCAGATAAGCCTTTTTTGCTCTCAGAGCCGTCGTCCTGAGGTCATGCATATACCTTTTTGGTGGTGTTGCTGCTTAGAGTAGATTTGGAACTCCTGAAACCACTTTCAGAATGTGCAGCATATTTCTTTTGACTACTGCAGTAATAGTAAGGCTTTGGTTGTACAGAATGGATTTAATTTTTGGAAACATCAAAAAGCCACTCTACCCAGGTGCCGGTGGCTCATGCCTATAATCTTAGCTATTCAGGAGGCAGAGATCTGGAGGATCTTGGTTCAAAGCCAGCCCCGGTTAAATAGTTGATGAGACCCTATCTCAAAAAGACATGACACAAAAAGGGATGGTGGTGTAGGCCCTGAGTTCAAACCCTAGTACTGGGAAAAAAAAAAAAAAAAAGCCATTCTAGATGGAGTGGTCAATGCTGGTTAGCAAACCATTGGTGTTTTTGAAGGAAGTTCTAAATCTACTGAGCAGAACAGCTAAGTGAAATGCGCAGCTTACAAGGTATTTTTAAGGACCGTTTTCTCATGTTTGTACAAGGTCTAGCATGTTGCTGGGAAATAGGAACACTGTTACAGCTTATTTGCTGCAGGTTATTAATTGTTGGGTGGAGTAAATCCTATTCCATCTCCATGTTCCCTTTACTTGCATCTCTGGTGCTGCCTGTCTTTTTCAGTCTAATTACCTTGCTTTGCATTAGTTTTGCCGATCCAAAATGATAAGAGCAGTTAGGGTTGATTCAACATAGGCTGTGATTGTCCAAGGGAAAAGAAAAACTGTTGGTGAAATAGTTCAGATTGTCCTACTTAGATACAAAGACTACAAGAACTAGCCAGGATGTACTTGGAACATTCTTAGGAAACAGATAAACAAAGCAGAGGTTGCCAGCCAATTTCTCTTGGCCCTGCTAGCCCACAAAGCAACCATCTGTGTCCAGTTTGTGTGGTATCTCTCAGCAAATGAGCAAAGCAGTATGACAAAGGCCCCTTTGTTGCCTTCCTGACCATTAAGAGCGAGGGGCTGAGGGAGGGGCTTTCCTTCACCATGGGCTGAGATTGTTGAATTTCTTAGCATAAGCCACCAGGTAGAGGGAAATGTGGCAAATGAAACCTTCATGTGGGGAACATAATTAATTAATGAGAGGAAAGCTACCCTGAAATCGAGATTCCTCAGAAATCGCTCAGCTCATTACATTAACATGTTACACTCTGGGCTTCCTTGTGGTGGGTTCTGCAGAACTCATGATGTCAGGTGCTTGTGTATTATAAACGCCATGGCAAGGCTGGCTACAAATCCACTGCTGAGGGCTAGAGGCACAGTTCAAATGATAGAATGCCGGCGTACTGAGCCAGAAGTCCTGAGTACAGACCCCAGTGTTGCTTTAAAAAACTACTCGGACAGCTGCCCTTCCAGAGTCTACTAAATTAGTTTCAACCGTCACCGTCACTGTAGTGTTGGTATGGGATCTGGCTTAAGAGGCCACGGCCAGTGGAGCTTTTGTAGGCCCACATGGTATCACACAAGTGGAAGGTTAGGAAGTGCTGACAAGTAATTTTGCTGTAGTGTATGTGACATGTGGCCAGTCTAGACGTGGACTTCGGGTTGCTCACATACCATCACATTTAAGAGCTCACAGAGCATCCATTTGGATGACCCAGTGTGGGAAGCCAGGAGTCTCCTCTGGACTAAAGTATGAAAATCTTTGGGACAAGGAGCATGCCCACATGAGTTAGCTGTGCTCCTTTGGACAAGTGACTATGGCCAGAGTGAGATGAGTGTGTATCTGGCCTTCCCTTGAGATAGGGTCTGCCTTGTTTACTGTTTTGTCTCCCCCCCACCCCACCCCCCCGCCCCAACCTAATCCAGTACTTGACTCAGCTTGTTCAGTAAATATTTATTGAATGGATGGTCAAACTGAAATTGACCCACTGTTGGGAATTCCCAAGTACCTTGAAAGAGTTTGGTAATTGTTTTGTCCTGATTGTACCAAGGACAAAGAGTCTTAATGACTCTTGATTCCTGACTTGGGCATTATTAATTTGGGGATATGAAGGAGAAAAACGTTACTATTTTATCAGTAAAGAAATGATAACTGGAAAAGAATGGATCTGACCTGCGGTCCAAAAGAAAGGCCCTAGTTGTCTTAAAGTTGAGCCCTGAAATCATTTAAACCTTCTCTCCAGGAGAGACTTTTAGATCACAGAATCCTGTAAAGAGGTTGAAGGTGGAAATAGAAAAGGAAGTCCTTGTAAGCTGCTCACTCCCAGATGAACTCTGCCTCAAAGAGAGGCAAAAACACAAATGGGAAGGGACGGAGGAAATGGCCTCTCCATGAGTACTGAGTACTTCATTCAGCAGACCCGCCAGTGGAGACATCAGGCAGCCTTACTCCTACCTGTCAGTGTCAGGAACTGATGACAGGAAGGGAGACACAGTCGTGGCCCCAGGCTGTGCGAGGATGAGTGGAGAATCTCCTGGGGAATGAGAGGAGGCCGAAGCACGAGGTGGACTTTGGGAGTGTCCCAGAGGACATCAGGGTTGTGCTTCAGAAGAGCAGAACCTGCCTTAGGCATGGTCAGCTCTGCAGAGAGTAGTCCCCACTCTCATCACCTCTGGAATCTTCAGATTCTCCACCTGTCTGTTTCAGAGAAAGACGTCGTGGGACTTTTCAAAAACCTCACCAGAAAGAGCAAATCCTTTAAATGACAGCTAAATAGATTGGTGGGTAGATTTCCTTTGGTGTTCAAGCTGGTTTGAGCCTGAACCCCTGGGAGAGTGCCTACAGGTGTCAGGTAACCCTGGTCTACAGCAGCTGCGTTGTGTGCCACTGCAGTGACTGTGTTACTGACCTGGAAGATCTAGGCAAAGGTGGGAGGTGGTCTCTGTGCTGTGGGTTTGAGTAACCACAGATGAAAAGTGAAAACCAGAGTTGACTCATCTAAGGACAGTTCTTCTGCTTTCCTCTGTATCCATAGGCGATGTAACGCCTATAACACCCATCTTGGAAGCCCTTGTTAAATTGCCATGGTTAATACATAGAATTCAGTCCAAAATATAAATTATTTTGTTTCAGAGATGTGAACACAGCTGTGATGGAGTTACTGATCATGGCCTACGCACTGAGGACTGCCTGTGCCAGGAATATCATTGGCGTCATCCCTTACTTCCCCTACAGCAAGCAAAGCAAGATGCGGAAGAGGGGCTCCATTGTGTGCAAGCTGCTGGCATCCATGCTGGCAAAAGCAGGTGAGTGTGAGCAGAGACTCTGGGTTCAGCCTTAGAACACAGAACCCTCCCTTCCTTCCTTCCTGGGGATTAGTTCCTACCTCAGGTAGCTAGCTCAGGACCTATTTCTTTGCGTCTTCACCGATTACATTCCCTCATTTGTTTCCTTTCCCATAACTTGGTGAGTGATATGTGAGCTTAGGTATTACATTCTTAGTGCTTTTTCCTCTGTCTTTCTTTAGAGTGGCATTGCTTCAGTGTTTTCCCCTCTTCTCTGGTCATGGACTGTTCTGATTATTCTATCACTTCTTTTCCATTTCATCTTGTCATCACTGAAGTTTAACTGGCAGGTGTGGCGTTCTTGTGTGATCTTTTGAGCTCCGGGATCAGATTTATGTGTTTGCCTTACTCAGTTACATTCTTTTTATGATCATAGCATTAAAACTAAATTTTTCTTTTACTACTTCTTAAGTTCATATGCTCCTCCCCTCCCTCTTCCTTTCTGCACAGCACTTCATTTTCGTTGTTTGATTCTCCTTATGTGGCAATTATAAAAGGATATTTTTGGGCTAGATCAGTGGTAGCACAAGGCCCTGGGTTTGATCCTCAACACTGCCAAAAAATATATATACATATATATGTAATTGCGTATATATAATTTTCAGCCTGGCATTTTGGGTCATACCTGTAATCCCAGCTATTTGGGAGGTGGAGATTGGGAAGATTTTATTTGAGACCAGTCCCAAGCAAAAAGTTCTGAAGACCCCATCTCAACAAATAAAAAAACTAGGTGTGGTGCCACACACCTGTCACACCAGCTATGTGAGAAGTATAAATAGGAAGGTCATGGTCCTTGCCTGCCTGTGCATAAATACAAGACCCTATATCAAAAATAACCAAAGCAAGCATACAGGTCTGGATCTGTGGTTCAAGTCCAGCAAGCGCACGGCCCTTAGTTCAAACCCCAGTAATGCCAAAAAGAAAAAGGATATTTTCATAGAAGAATCTTTTTTTTTTTGGCAGTACCAGGAATTGAACTCAGGATTCTGTATTTGCTAGGCAGGAGGCACTCTGCCATTTGAACCATACCCCAGTCCAACAATACTTTTTAAGCATTCTTTTATCTCATAAGGAAATGATTCCAAACTTCAGTATCTTACACTTGTGTTATATGAATTGTTTTTTCCTTTCATACACATAATACTTTTTACTCCTTTCTGCCATAGCCAGTGCCTTAACTTCTTCCTACACGGTCTAATAAGGGCCTTCCTGTTTTACACCTATCATTGCTTTGGTAGTTATTCCATGTTTATATTTTTTCTTCTGCCTGAGTTTACTTGTCTCACTCTTCAGGACCACGCTAATTACAATAGCAAAGGAGAGGACATCCCAGCTTTAGTTCTTTGTCTTCTGGAAGGTCATGGGTTCCTTGGCATTAGGCTGGATGTACTCTTAGCTTACTTACGTTTTGTTAAGTTTAGCAATAAAGTCAGTAACTGCCTTGCTGGCCCACAGTACCCCTGCCTTGGGTCTTCTGGTAGGATGCAGTATTCAGGCACCTAGTCTGTGTCCACTGTAGCCATCAACATGTAGGGAGAACTTTGTAATTTTTTGTTTTAAAATTTCAGGTTTAACTCACATTATCACTATGGATCTTCACCAAAAGGAAATACAAGGCTTTTTCAGCTTTCCCGTGGACAACCTTAGAGCCTCACCTTTCCTGCTTCAGTATATCCAGGAAGAAGTGAGGAGCCACCAGCACATACCCCACTGTCCTCAAAGAGATCCTATTTAGTGTTCCTCTGGTATCAGATTTCAGTATTGAAGGGTGCATCATGAGCTTTCCCTTGTCCCAATGCCTGCCGCAGCCAGATACGACCCTGCAGTCAGTCATGGAGAGTCATATTTTTAACAGACATTAAAAGCAGATTTCCTTTGTAGTCCTTTTATCAATGTGCTATGGTTTCTAGAATGAAGGTTTTAAGAATTTTTACCCTCTAGATGTAGTAGTACTTTGACAATGATGTTAATTGATAAATGATGAAAATATTTAAATGTGCAAATGCAATTCTAGCATATTTGATTGCTAGTTTGGATCATTGGTACAAGAAGAAGAAATGTAATACCAGCATCTGGGTGTTATTTTTTGATAACTTTTCAGTATTTTCTATTTTTCCTCCAAATCTAGATTCCAAATTACAGAAATGCAGTCATTGTAGCTAAGTCTCCTGATGCTGCAAAAAGGTAAGTAAGCCAACCATTTATAAAAACTCCTCTGAGCCAGATGCTGGTGGCTCACGCCTGTAATCCTAGCTACTTGGGAGGCTAAATCCAAAGCATCATGGTTCAAAGCAGCCCAGGCAAATAGTTAGTGAAACTCCAATCTCCAAAGTAACCACAGCAAAATGGACTGGAGGTGTGGCTCGAGGTTAGAGCGCCTGCTTTGTAAATGCAAAGCCTTGAGTTCAAACCCCATTGCCAACAATACAAACAAAACCCCTTGGGTGTTTCTCATGTCAGAAGTCACTGTTTGAGAATCGAGGGCTGTCCCATCATGGCCAGTACAAACTCCTGGGCTTGTGCTTTGCCTCATGTCATTGTCATGTCCACCCTATAGGTTCACCTCCAGCCTCAAACAGTACAAAAATCTCTGAGTTAATTCGGTTTTCCTCTGCAGCAAATGAAGGTCTCCCTTCCCATTCTCGGGAGAAGGAAACTTGGGGGCTTGAGCATGAGCTTCCCAGGCATTGGTTTGTCTTTTGGACAAGCTTCTTCTAAAGAGGACTATTTTAGAATACTGAACAAAAAAAAAAAAAAAAAGGAAAGCCGGGCACTGGTGGCTCACGGCCTGTAATCCCATCTATGCAAAAGGCAGCGATTAGGAGGCTTGCAGTTCTAAGCCAGCCCCAGGCAAAGTTTGTGAGACCCAATCTTGAAAAACACCATTACAAAAGAAGGGCTGGCAGAGTGGCTCAAGTGATAGAGTGCCTGCCTAGCAAGTATGAGGCCCTGAGTTCAAACCCCAGTGCCACAAAAAAAAAAAGGAAATGACAAAAAGAATAGAACCAAAATTACCTAGAATCATAAACCATTCTAGAACCCAGTTATGCCCTTGTGACATTTACATTCCTTGTGTGTCCCTAAAAGATTGAATGGCATTTCATCTTATGACCAATAAGTAGAGTGACAGAGCAATGCCTGGGTTTTCTTCCCATCAGCCTCACCATTGCTCTTTGTCTTCCTCTAGGGCACAGTCATATGCGGAGAGGCTGCGTCTGGGGTTAGCTGTCATCCACGGAGAAGCTCAGTGCACAGAGCTGGACATGGATGATGGGCGGCACTCCCCCCCAATGGTCAAGAACGCCACTGTGCACCCCGGCCTGGAGTTGCCGCGTAAGATTAGCCCTACACCTCTATTTGTAAATCGCGGAAGTGGCTAGGAGTTAACACTGTGGATGTATGCGGATGTATGCTTTCTTGCCCTTTTTGTGTTTGTTTTGCTATTTTTAAATAGGTGAATGATTCTGCCTTCACTTTTTTATAAAAGGTCACATGTGTCACACAGTTGTAGACTGTGTAGGACCATTGCACTAACCTGGGTACTACTTAGCATTCGGAGAAAGAAAGTCACATGATTTTAGCTTTAGTGAGCAAAGTTGTGTGTGGTGGTGTGACATCTGAAGCCTTTATACTTTGGTAAGATGGTGATAGCCGTGGTTGATCACTGGCCAGGCTTTGGCCATTGGATAACGTCGGCACTTACTTTAGTAATGTAGCGCTTTGGTCTGGCACCCCACTGACTCGCTGTTACTAACCCAGCCATCAGCAGTGCGGTTTATGTCAGTGGCCTTTGTGTGACACTGACAAACATTCTATGCTGGCAGAAAGGCTTAAGATTTTTAGAGGCATGACTTTTTTTTCTTTTTAAAGTCTTGCTAGAGTACCTGCCTATCAAACCTGAGGCCCCAAGTTCAAACCCCAGAACCACCAAAAAAAAAAAACAACCTAAAGTCTTGCTATTTGTCATTTAGAGCTTAAGAGGGTGAAGAGATACTAGAATTGTAGACAGCTTATTTCAGAGGAGCTCCTGTCTAAATTTAAGCACTCTTAATATTTTAACCCTATTTCCCATTGCTTCATTTTTAATTTTGGAGATTTTTACATAAAAGAAATGAGTAATATGCCTTTTTACTTTATTTAATTCATAAAATATAAAACCCTTTAAAGTAAAAAGTGTCCCACACACTTTCCTTAGCTCCTCAGATCTGCAATACAGTTGGTTTCTTGTGTCTCTACTCAGGTTTTTATGCATATATAAGCAAATATGTCTTTTTTTCTCTCATTTCCGCACAAATGATACACATTATTTTGTCTCTTTCTCTTTCTTTTATTGGGGAAATGGCAGGAAGGCTGGAGTGAGACAGGGTCTCACTGTGTAGCTCGGGCTGGCCTCTTACTCATTGTTTAGCCCAAGCTGGCCTCAAAGTTGTGATCCTTCTGCCTCTGCTTTCCAAGTGCTGGAATTTTTAAAATTCAATACATACAGACTTCTCAGTCTTTTTAGTTTTATAATATTCTGTATTATGGATATGCTAATAATTTATTTAATCAGTCCCCCACTGATGGACAAATAGATTTTTTCTACCTTTGGCTGTGTAAAACAGCCCTGCTGAGCCCTGATCATACATGTTAGTGGCTCCCTCACCCCTCCATGGAGGGACTTTATTATCCCTCATTCTGCTGACCAGGAAGCAGTCAGGCAGCCAGGTTTGGAATGAGATGGCTGGCTCCAGAGTCCACATTTCTTTGGTTTTTTTGTTTTGTTTTTAGCTTTTAATTTTGAGCTAGCTACAGACTTAGAGAAAAGGTAAAAGAAGAATACAGATGTGTACTAACTGCCATCTTCACACAGAGTATCCAGCTTTAGCGTACACTATTATCTTTTGTGCCATTTGAGAAGTAGAGTGCTCCTTTAAAATTCCTGGACTTTATTCCTGCTGTGTATTTCCGAAATACACAGACTTGCATAACTGCAATGTAATTCTCATACTCAGGGCTACAGTACTACTGTCTAATCCACAGGCTTTGGTCAGGTTTCCCCAGTGCCTTCAGAACAAACGGAAAAACCTTTTTCTTTTCTCTTTTTTTTTTTTTTGGCCCAGGTCCTGATACAGAGCTGCACAATGCATTCAGTTCTCATCTCTCTTTAGTCTCATTTAATCTGGAGTGGCTTCTCTGTTCTTTGGCTCCTCTGACCTTGATACTTTAGGACAGTACAGGCCAGTTATTTTGTAGACTGCCCCTTAATTGGGACTTGTGTCCGCATGCTTAGATTCAGGTCATGTGTTTTGGCAGGGATGTCACAGGAAACATGGGATGTGCCCTTTGCTGGTGAGGTTGATTTTGTTTGCTTGGTTAAGGTGGTATCTGGCAGGGTTTCCACTGAAAGTTACTGTTTTTTTTTTCTCTTTGTAATTAATAGTGTCATAAGCTATAAATATCCTTCCTCAAACTTAGCATCCTTCAATGTCTCTTGCCTGATTCCACTATTACTATGATTATTATTTTTTCTTTCTTTTCTTTTTCCTTTGAGACAATGTCTCTCTGTGTTTCCTGGTCTCAAATTCATGGGCTCAAGCAGTCTTCCCACCTGAGCGTCCCAAGCAGCTGAAATGATAGGTGCACACACAGCCATGCCCAGTTCACATCGTCATTTCTAGTTCCACCATCTAATTTTTTTTTTTTTGGTAGTATTGGGGATTAAACCCAGGGCCTCGTGCATGCTAGGCAAACAACACTGAGCTACATTCCACCCAGTCCACCCCTATCTACTTTTGTTGGCTGATGTTCTAGTAGAATGTCATTAATTTCTCATTAATTTCTTTGACTTTGGGGTCTCAGAATCCTCTTGGATCCAGTGAGTTATAATCTGTGGCTGTTTCTCATTTCAGTGCTCGTCTTAGTCTTTACTGAAAAGAACTTTGAGCTGCCTCCTGTGCCCTTTTGATGTGTCCTGTCATTTTTGACTACTTCCTTATTTTCTGATCTAATTGGTCCTCCATGCTCCTCTTGTACTTTCTTAGCCCTGGAATTGGCCATTTCTCCAGGGAGCCCTGACTCCTTTGGTGGAGAATAGTGTTCAGAAGCCAGATTTGGGCTTCAGTGTGTTTACTGTCTGTTACTACACAGTACAACCTGTGACCTACCTGGACTTAGGTTCTTTCATAAGTAACTGAGTAGAGTTCAGAATTAACACCAAGAAGTAAAAGGATGGAGTTGGAGGTTATTTTGGTAGGTATTGCCTTTTCATCACAGTATTTTACTCTGTAAACTTTTCTGTTCTTAAAATGTTGCCTTGTCATGTCTGCTCCCAGTCATCCTTACGCACTGCACCATGGGAACATTTTTTCACAGCCACACCGGCCCAGCTACATTGCAACTTCTGCTATTGCCACGGGTCATTCTTCTGTGATTCCCAATTCTCAGACTTAACCAAGAGAATTCTGAAAAATGTTTTCTCTCTGTATTTCAACATGCTTTCTTGTTTATACACTAGCCATGCAGTATGATCCAGTGGTCCATTCTTCAGAATACTAGAGTGCTAGGACACCAGTGACAAGCATACCTGTCCTTAAGAGTCTGTGCCTTTTGGGAAGATGCACTATGTTACCCTCCTGAAACCCATTCATTGTCCCCAGAGGATATTTGGTAATGTCTGGAGCCATTTCAGGTCGTCACACTTCCTGTGTAGCTGGGAGGACAGGCCCACCCTACCAAACCGAGCTTTTATTGGTTGAGTTGGGTTCTTTTGAGCTTTTGCATGGCTGGGATGCTCCTGATTGCCACCTCCTGACCCACTGTGCTTGGCTCAGAGCAGAATCTTAACATAGGGTAGTTTCAGCATCTTTACCTTGGCCTTCAGCGTTAGCACACTGAGGAAAAGTTGGAATTTTGAGGGTTTTATTTTCTGGATAAGCTATTGGAAATTGTTGGCATGTTTTAGCCTGTGGGGTACTTGTTATTTTCTTGTACTCCATATTAAAGACCATCTGTCTTTTTTTAGGAGCCACCAAATTATGTGTTCAGTTTATCCAGACCATAAGGCTGGATATGCACAAGGAATGAATTTATGGAGAGATACTCTTTTTAGTCTGTTTTGGTCTTATTCGTAACTGGGCCTTAGGGTTTTCATTTCAAACAAGCAATAGTTTTGTGTAGAGGTAGGATCACAGAAAGTGCTGACTTTCAGCTTCAGCTTAGCTAACTTACTATTATTCACAAAGGAACACTGGTGCCCTGCCACATACCAGGCCTATAGGTGGGAATCAGCTAGAATTGATTGTTAAATACTAAACTGTATAATTACCCTGAATTGCATTCTTTCCCTTCCCCCACTTCTAGTTTAATAAATATTTCAGAATAAAAAGGTTTTAAAAAGAGTAGAATACTTAGCTTGTTCCTCTAAAATGTCTCCCCCTCCCCTGAGTTTCCTACCCTCCTTTTGAGGTGAATTCTTACTTTATCTCCAGTAGCCTGCTAGTGTCTTCCAGATGCAGGTTTTGTAGCAAGACAGAAACCTCTGCTTTAAGGCCCAGTGACATGAAGAAAAACTGCTGGACTTGGTGTTACAGGTTCCTGGTTTTTGGGAAACTGATTGCTGAGTAGTAGGGATATCTGATAACATGGTTTCATTGTCAGTGTCAGGTTCTTAGAAAGAAAATGAAGTTGGCAGCCTTTCCCTGTTGGGTTTTCATGTATGACCACAGTGCTTTTGAAACGTGGCTAGAGTCACCTTAGAAGAGCTGTATGTTTAAAATGCACCCTCAAATAGCAAAGACAAATGTGAAAAAAAAAAAAAAAAGTAAGCACCTCAGTAATTGTTTTTTTTTTGGTTTTTTTTTGTTTTTTTCAGTACTGGGGCTTGAACTTAGGGCCTACACCTTGAACCACTCCATTAGCCTTTTATGGGATGGGTTTTTTCAAGGTAGGGTCTTGCAAACTGTTTGCCGGAGCTGGCGTTGAACCGTGATCCTTCTGATCTCTGTCTCCTGGGTAGCTGGGATTACAGGTGTAAGCCACTGGTGACCAGCCAAAAAAAAGAGATAGGAAAATAAGTAAAGACAGCTACATGGGCATTATGTGCTGTGGCTGAAGGATGGATGCATCGTGACCTGTCTAAATGGTTCACTCTCAAGGACATCAGGGAGATTTCCAGGAGCGAGCTGGCTGATATGACTGCCATGCTACACTGTCTGACCCAGCAAGGCTGTGTTTGGCGAGAAGGGCCAGCCAGGAAAGTACAGCAAAACATAGCATGGCCAAGAGCATCAAAGCTGACAGCAGTGAGAAGAGGCCATTCACCCAGATGTGCCTGGCTTGGTTTTACTTTTTAACATGGCTACTACCAGATTTAAGATTGCATGCGTGGCTTGCCTTCTATCTTTAGGCCAGCTAGTGCTGCTCCAGACAACTGTTTGTGAGCTACCCTGGGTCGTGGAGAATAACTTCATGTTCTGCTGTTACTGCAGCCTGAGCTACTGTTTTGCCACCACTTCCAGGGAACAAGGTTGTGATTATATTTATCTAGTGACATGCACTGACTGGGGGTCTTGTGATTTGTTTTGTCTTGCTAGTGATGATGGCCAAGGAGAAGCCACCAATAACAGTAGTTGGAGACGTCGGAGGACGCATTGCGATCATAGTGGTATGGAGATGTGTTGTCATCCTTCATGCAGTGTCCTTCGTCACACTGCTGGGTCTTAGTGGATTGTCATTTTGGATTATGTTTCTAGTAATAGGATTTCAATGGAGCATCCATCCTTTGTCACCCAAACTCCTTTTGGAAAAGTAACAAAATTTTTTATATAAATAAACAGGTTAAAGTATAACCTAGAAATGTGAAAAGAGCACGGTACCTCCCTAGGGAAATTCAGCACCATAACCTGTGTCTGTGGGGTCTGGGCCCCCAGACTAGCTTGCCTACTCCTCCTTTAGCTTTAGGGCCGTGATACAAGCTAATGGTGAGCAGTCTGTTGACACGGACGGGAACCAAGTGTCTTATAGGCTTCACTTTGTGTTGACAGGCTGATGTGCCACTCCAAAGGCATGTGCTGGCTAGAAGGCCACCAGTCATTTACAGCAGCTCACTTTATTTCTATCTTCCTCTCATGTGACTTTCTTTTGAAGAAAAATAACTGAGACACTGGCTTTATGAGTGAGTCAGGAGTTTGAAAGATGGAAGTGAGCCCTGGCAGTCCTCAGCTCGAGCTGCCATGTCACTTGCACCTGACTGGAAGGCCTTACCGTCTTTTCTGCCAGACACGTGAGGTACCTCAGAGTAGCTCCTGCCTTCTCTGGATGCTCTGTCCCTGGCCTGGGCACATGCTCAGATTTTCCACAGAAACTCCTGCAACCAAATGGAGAAGAGCAGAGAGGTGTGTGTCTTCACAGGACAGGCTGGGAGAGAACGCGGTTCCCTAATACTGACTCATCCTGCAGGATGACATTATTGACGACGTGGAGAGTTTTGTTGCTGCTGCAGAGATCCTGAAAGAAAGAGGTGCTTACAAGATCTATGTCATGGCCACGCATGGCATCCTGTCTGCCGATGCCCCCCGCCTGATTGAGGAGTCCTCCATTGATGAGGTCTGTGTGCTTCGAAAGTCTTGGAACATACGGCTAAGTCATAACATCCGTGCTGCCTGGTGTCGTGAAGAATAGTGACTCAGTCAGTATTTAGTTGCTTAATCTCTTGCTAGAGAACCCAGGAAGCCCTTTTCTCTGACTGGCAGCCTTGTTGGGGCAGATGTATATTTAGGAATATATGTATTTGCATGAAGGTTTGCCTCGACTCTTTAATATAATGTGATACTATCATTTAAGACATGAATTCTTCCCTGATAATAGGGAAGTTTTATCTGGCTCTGGGGCTCACTATTTCTGTATAGAGACCATAACATTCCTAGGACTCGAGTTTTATGTTCTGAGCCATGTAACCTTTCCCCTGTGTAAAAGTGACTAAGTTTAGTTTTTAGACACTGTACTCTGGCCAGGCGAGGTGGTGCGCACCTGTAATCCCAGCTCTTGGAGGCAGGAGGACTGTGAGTTCAAGTTCAGCTTGAGCTACAGAGAAAGACCCTGCCTCAAAAACCCAAAGTGGAAAAAACAAAAACTAAAACCCTAGACTCTGGAACAAAGTTTTGTGGTTTGGAGTTTGAGCTATGAGCACTAAATGTTGGACATCCTTTTCTGAGGGACCATTTTAGGGTGTGCACCACTAACAGTGTTTATTTTATATTGCTTCACAACTAGGTGGTGGTGACAAATACTGTCCCTCATGAGGTCCAGAAGCTGCAGTGTCCCAAGATAAAGACTGTGGATATCAGTTTGATTCTTTCTGAAGCAATTCGGAGAATCCACAATGGAGAGTCCATGGCTTACCTTTTCCGAAACATCACGGTGGATGACTAGCTCATGGTTGCCTTGACCCTGGAACTCCAGAGGAAAACACACAAAGCAGTGCCATGGACTGTGTGCAGTGCTTCCTTGCAGGGAGGACTGGAAGTAGTCTGGAGTTAGGTAGCTTCTCTCACAAGACTGGTGGGGAAGAGGCCTTAAGATAGGCAAGAAGGTAAAGCTAGTGGTAAATAACATGGACTTAAGCGTCTGCCGTGATCAGCCCTGTTCCTTAAGCAGAAGTGACCACAATCTCAAAACCTTGTTGATATCAAGGAGGGGTGAAAGGAAGAGAAAGTCTTAACGCTAATTTTTACTCAGTTGCTTCAGTTCTGGGGAACAGGTGTGATGTTGAACTTGATCTGGGAGTTGTAGCCCTGGTGCTGTTTCTGTCCAGTTGTCCTCTCCCTAGTCAAGTTCACTTAAGTCTTTTATAGAGAATCATATTTTTCTTTCAGAAGCTGCTGTGCTAATTGGCATGGTGGTGCACACCTGTAATCCCAGCATTAGGAAGACTGAAGCAGGAGAGTAATGGGTTCAAGGCCAGCCTGGGCTGCATAAGGAGACACTGCCTCAAAAGAACAAAAACAAAATAAGCTAGCAGAGACTGCTGTGCCTACTGCCATGGAACAATGAAGCAATCGTGTCCCTGCTCCTGAGACTGTCTAGAGAATAGCATCCCATCCGTGGATGACTGCATTGCTCTGAAGTTGCAAATAAAAAAATTTGTTGTCTTTAGTTTCTTCCCTGTGCTGTGGACTCCCTGCTCCCTCCTCAGTGGTGACTAACTTCAGTACAAAAGACAGTGGGTACAAAACAAAGGTTGTTGCCAGTGCCTAACACCTATAATCCTAGCTACTTGGGAGCTGAGATCGGGAGGGTTGCTGTTTAAGGCCAGCCCAAGCAAAAAGTTCTAAAGACCCCATCTCCAAAGTAACCAGAGCAAAATTAACTGGAGGTGTGACTCAAGTGGTGCAAATGTGAAGCCCTGAGTTCAAACTGCAGTCCCACCAAACAAAAACAAAGGGTAATCAGGTCATGGCTAGTACAGATTGCACACCTAAGTCTTCTGCAGGCTCCATCCCCTTCTGCTTCCCCCTTCCTAACCAGGAAAGTTAAATCCTCATTAAAATCTAAATCTAAAAAAGCCAGGATGATCTGTCAGTTTCCTTTGTGAGCCAGGGTACTATGTTTATTACTTTACTGAGGACTGCACTGGCCTGCCTACCCAGCATTCTGAACCAGGTCATCCCAATTCCAGTTTATACTACCTTTGTCAGGAAGTCTTATTACAAACATGGTAGAGCTTTTTATACCTTTAAAACTGCTCCAAATCAGGACCAAGTGTCCTAGGAAGGAGTGTCTGCTGGACAAATGTTTATGGGCTCTGTTAGCTCCTGAAAGACAGAAATTCTTTTATTTATACAATTATATCTCTCTGCAGGGAGGTTTCCTTGACTTTTTCAATCCCTTTCCTAATGACAAGAAAAGTTCCCAAGCCACAATGAAGACTTTGAACACATTCATTTTTTCAAGCACACAAAATAAGTTGCCTTCTGTTAACGATCCAAGTAGGGAAATTTGAGCAAAGAACTCAAAATAATTAGTGTTGGTGGCAGAGAAAGAGCTTCAGAGTGCTGGGCAGGAGACCTGGTTGAGATTAGGTTAAGCTGATCATTAGTACTTTCTGGACCAATGTCTTCAGTTGTGAAAGTTCTGCAATTGAAACTAAGGTCCTTTTCAAGTCTTAAAATTTCATTTGTGTTTCAGTTAACATTTTTTTTTTCACCCTGTATTCCAAGGGTAGAGGTTTTGTTTTTGGCGGTACTGGGGTTTGAACTTAAGGCTTTGCACTTGCTAGGCAGGTGCTGTAACCTTTGAGCCACATCTCCAGCCCTGGTAAACGTTTTTAAATATACCTAGCAACAGTATTGAGTAGAATAAGCAGTAGTTCCAAGGATAATAAAATACTAGCCTTTGCTTTGCTATTTAGTGAGTTCCAAGGTGCTTGGCAAGACTCTAATCCTCCGGTAGGGCAAGTGTAGCTCCGTGGTAGAGCCCTGGCCTCAAGTTTGACCCACAGCACTGCAAAAAACGATACTAAGCCTCAGGGATGTGAAAATGAATGTGGGAGGACCCACACCTCTAGTATGGCCAGTGCTGATCTAAGCTTAACTGCACAAAAGATGATGACGTTTTTCTTTTTGGCATCATCAGCCACTTGGACTAAGCACGGTGTTGGGAATACAATAAGGAAACTTCAAGTTCAGACTAAACCACAAATCAGAATTTGCAGGTGCAATCAGTTTCCTTTAAGTAGCTCTTCTTCCCTTTGACACTTGTTAGAAAGGTCTAGTTACACATTTTCTGCAACAATCTGCCATGGGAAAGTCATACAGTTGTTCAGGAGCCTAGATTTGTCTAGTCCTGCCCGGAAGTAACTGCAATGCTGGCGCTGGGCCAGGTGAGGCTGTGTTTTGAGAGCAGCACACAGGAGGGCTGTCATCTGGCGGCTAATTGGAGCTGCCTGAGTAGTGGGCAATCCTTTCCAGCCAGCTTTGATTGAACAAAATGGTATGGGAACAACCCCAGGGGCCAAGGCCTCAGGACTGCATCCCTTAGATATACGGCCCTGCCCTGCGGGATGGAAAGTGACTGGTGATACAGCGCTGGTTGCCATGACACCCATTAAACTTTCTGTCCTTTGTGGCTCCTTAAGAGTGGATCTGGGCCTTTTTAGGCTAAGGAGAAGGACGGGGTCAAGTCAAATCTGGGGAGGCCACCCTACCCCTCCTCCCAAACTCACATCCTTCATGCAGACCCCTTGGCGCCGCCCTGAAGTCCCTGTCTTCAAGAGCTTTTACTGAAAATCAAAATTGGCGCCTTGGAGTGTGGCCTGTTTCCAAAGACCCCCCCTAGGGCCACGCTGCCCTTGCGAGTTTGGGTGTGGGCAGGCGGGCGCGGCAGAGGAGTCCTGTGCTGCGCGCGGCTGTCGGCGAGGGCGCGATCTCACGTGGAATCCTAGGGGCGCACGGGGGCCACGACTCGCCGCGAAGGGGGCCCCTCGTTCCAAACGTCCGCTGGCTCGCGGAGCCCGGCCGCTTGGACCCCGCAGATTCTGGGAGGCCAAGGTCGGAGATAGCCAGGCTCTGTCCGAAAACTGTCGCCCGGCACTGCCGGGCAATGGAATAGGGGCACCCCGGGGGGGCTGGCAGGGTCCCCGAAAGGCCCCAGAAGAGCAGCGAGTAGTAAGGGGGGACTTGGTGGTGCACGATGCCGCCTGAGACCGCGCCCAACAAGGTCTCCCTCCTAGAGCTGGCCGACCTGGCGATCGGCACCCCGGAGGTGGGCGCCGTTAACTTCACAGCCCTGCACGCGCTCATCGTGGCCATGCTGAAAAACCTCAATCTTCAAGAGCTCCTCATCGATTTCCAGTCCCCGATGATGGAGCCGGGCCGCTCCATCGAGACCGTCCCCTCGACGGACACCCTCCGACCCCGGCTCAGCGCTCCGCACTTGCCGGGGACAGCGTCCAAAGAGAAAGACAGGCGCAGGAGTGTGGGCAGGATGCCATCCCAGGTGCTGGAGAGCCAGGTGAAGGACCTGGGCGGCCAGGTACAGGACCTCAACAAGCAGTTCAAGACCATGGACAGCAAAATACAGGGCCTCATGACCCATGTGGAGTACATTACCGCTGGATTAGACCTGGAAAGGCCCAGGTTCCCCGAGGAGATGGACATGTCTGCACTGAAACCCCAGACAGTGCAAATAAAGTCTAAGAAGATCCTGAAGGACACTGGGGAGGTCGGCCCAGTCAAGGTAAAGGCACCCCTTTTCCCCCACAGAGCTCCAATTCCTCCAGCTTATCCTCCAGCCCTGGTGGGAGCTGGGCCCTGATGACCCAGAAAGGCATGAGTGGGGGTTACAGGGAACAAGGGACACTGGGCCTGGGTTGGGCCTGGTCCCATGCAGCCCCTGCTCTGCCTTGCAGGCCATGGATCTGCTCCAGGATATCATAGAAGATGTGAAAATTCTGAAAGAAGCCCACCAAAAGGCACAGGAATCCCAGGAGCTGAAGCCCCAGGTGAAGGTGCTCCTTGCTATGCCCTTCCTCCCTCACTCCTGTTGCTAGGATCACCCACCACTTACCAGACACCAAGGGACCCTAAACTAACCCACAGAGGAGGTGACAACTTCTCCAAATATTCTGAGAACAAATTCTCTTTAAAAAAGAATAAAGAGGGCTGGTGAAGCAAGAGTGCCTGCCTGGCAAGTGCGAGGCTCTTAGTTCAAACCCCAGTGCTGCCAAAAAAGACTAAAGGAATGAAGGCATTGAAAGCCAAGGGCCTGTCCACTAGGAGGGGAGTCGGGATGGACAATCAGACCCCAGCACCCTGTGGTTATGGATATAAGCTGCAGCAGGCAGGGGTCAAGTTCACTTGGACTCGGGTACTATTGGTTCTGCATAAGCACTGGAAAGGAAACAGATAAGTCAGCTTGAGGTGAGAATATATCTTCCCGGGGTAGGGAACAGGAAGGGACCTGCAGGAAAAAAGGAGGTACAATCAGGAAAAAAGCCCAGGGAGAGGCCAAGGAGAGAAACAGGAGGGATGAAAGGTAGAGGAGGCCAAGCATCCAAGGGAACTCCTGATGCTAAGTCCATCGTATGTGCCACCTCAGGCCTGGTGAACTTAGTCCGCTCATCTTTACTCTGGGAAATGTATCTGCTTTTCAGACTTTAGAGTGTGGCAGGTTCTTTTCATTTTGTTTTGTCTAATCTTAGATTCTAGAGGTTGGCATAAGTTATAAGAAGCAACTTAAATTCTAGCAATTTCCTTGGGTTCTCTTTGAGGGCTTTGCTCTTTACTTGATCTGGACACTCAGACACTGCTGAAGCCCCTGGTACTTCTTGTTCCTTGAGAGGCAAGCAGACCTCCCTCATGCTGCAGAATTGGAAGGTTCCAGTAGTGGGTAGTGTGAGATGAAGCCAGGACCAAACTTCCCACCCCTGTATTAGTAGACTTGGCACACCATCCTGCATTGCCACCCCCACTGCACCCCGTGTCCCTTCCTTTCATTTGCCAGGAAAAGAACTGGGAGCCTCACTTTACTGGTCAGGTAAAACCAGGTAGAGAGCTGGGCACCGGTGGCTCACACCTGTAATCCTAGGTGTACTTGGGGGGTTGAGATTGGAAGGATTGTGGTAAGGCCAGCCTAGGCAAATACTTCATGAGGTTCATCTCCAAAAAAGAAATGATAGCCAGAGTAAACTGGATTGGAAGCGTGGCTCAAGTGGTAGAGCTCATGCTTTGCAATTGTGAAGCCCTGAGTTCAAACCCCAGGCCCACAAAAAAAATAAAAAGGAAAAACTAGAACACACCCCCTTCCCACAAGAGACATATACACACCTGTTTCCTCTTCAACATTGCAGAGTCGGTGTGACTGTGCACGTGTGTGC